AAAATTTATTCATTTCATTAAAAAATACCATATACAATAATAAAAAATAAACCAAAACCAAAAAAATATACAAATCAAAATAAAATGAAAGGTAGCAGAAGAAGAATAAATCTTATTTTGTCTGCCCCTTTTCGACCCAGAATATATTCAAACGAAACGTAATTTACAAAACTATACTAAATAACATAAAAAATTTAAAAAAAGAATAAAAACAATAACATAAAAACATCAACTCAAACAGCAAATCAAATAGCTTCACATTTTACTTTTCATATATCTTCAAAAAAACTAGCTTTTATCTGTCTCTTAAATATATACATTTATCTAGCATTTTTAAGATCATCTTCCGGACCATTCCATAATCCTATACCCTGGATTAAAGGACATCTTTCTCTCAAGCAAGTACGAAAATATGGCTTCACAAACATTTCCATCCCCTTTAGATAATAACAACTGTCTCTCTTAACAAAGTTTACCTGAATGTTGGATGGTAATATGTTTCTGTGAGCCCTGTACATAAACAGTAAAATATTGTAGTCAATCAAAGAATATCATATCATAATATAATATCATAGAATTTCTAAATTTCCAGTTTACAAAATAATGCATTAGATGGATGGTTGTAATCTTTTCTCCCGATAATTAGCTTAGTATGACATACTGAAAAGACATGGGTCGGATTTGAAAAAAAATCTGATTTGTCCTGTTCAGGCCGTCATGGAAAAATCAAAAATCCAAAAATCTGATTTGGTTCACATTTACCAGCAGTGTGAACAAAGCGTTTGTCTCACACCACGTCCTCACCTTATCTGGGTTTTCTGATGCACGGCGCATTTCCCACTTGGTTTTCTGTAGCTGGGGACAGTTGGAACGTATCACACAGTACGTTTATAAAAACAAATCTCAACCATTCTGGGTCATTATTTTTCTAACATGAATATTATTCACTTTTCTTAAGTTTTATCTACCTCCTGTTAGATTTGGACCAAAGCACATTCTAAAAAAAAATGTAACGTTTTCTTCAAAGTGCAGATTAGAAAAAGCGGTTGTCATTCTTCAGTAGTGTTCCAATGGCTGACATGTTGTTCTTCAGGTGGCCTGCGACCTGCTGCGGAGGATCATTCGCATCTTGTATCTGAGCAAGAGGTTGCAGGGACAGCTGCAGGGGGGCAGCAGGGAGCTCACCAAGGCTGCTCAAAGTCTCAATGAACTAGGTAAGGCTTCATATTTCATATTTTCACAGTAACAAAGCTGTTAAACACTGTTCCATTATCTCTAAGGACATGGAAGTTCTTGCTACAAAAAATACAATGAAACAACTTTTCTTTAAAAAAAACATTTGGAATGGAAATAAAAAATATTTTATATTTTTTTGTTGCTGCATATGTGGACAAAATTCTTACCTTTTTTGTTAACGACTGAACAACCTGCAATGGTCTCTGAGAGAACTTGAAATCGAGAAAAGTAATAGTAATTTAAAAATTACTGAAAATTAACCATTGAAAATCACACATTGCTTTTGAATTGTGGTTCAACATAGTCTTTTTAAAAAACAAGCTAATGAAACAGACCTTGACAAAAAATATTGTACTATCTCCATCTTCTGCCACTTATAGTCGGGTCGCAGAGGCAACGGGTTCAGGAGAAAAATCCAGACATTCCTCTCCTCGGCTGCCACGATTTGTCGACTAGTCACGATTATTGTCGACTATTAAAAACGTCGATGCGTTGTTTTTTTTTTCTAATTTTGTTTTTCTCTCCAAACTGCTGCAGCACCTTCCACTGCCACGTCTGCCTTTCTGTCCTTGACACATGTGTAGTAGTGGTAATTAGGGCTGCCGCAAACGATTATTTTTATAGTTGACTAATCGGTGATTAGTTGACTATAAAAAATACAAAGTTGGAAAAACAAACAATGCATCAACTACTAAATTAGTCATTGACGATTTTAATAGTTGACATAATCGTGACTAGTCGACTAATCGTGGCAGCCCTACTTTCCAGCTTGTCCTTGGGGGGGCCCCGGGGRGTTTCAAGGCCAGAGAGGGTGCATAATCCCCCCAGCGAGTCCTGGGTCTTCCTTGAGGCCTCATACCAAAGAGATGTGCCTGGAATACCTCTAAAGGGAGGCATCCAGGAGGCATCCTAATCAGCTGAACCACCTCTACTGACTCCTTTCGATGTGGAGGAGCAGCAGCTCTGCTCCGATCTTTCCACGCACCTCCTTACCCCATTTCTAAGGCTGAGCCTGGCCACCCTACAAAGGAAGCTCATTTCAGCCGCTTGTATCCGGGATCTCATTCTTTTGGTCATGATCCAAACCTCTTGACCACTGGTGAGGGTTGAAAATACAGACCAGTAAATCCAGAGCTTTGCCTTTCGACTCAGCTCTTTCTTCACCACGACTGACTGAAGCAACGCCCTCATTACTGTGGACGAGGCCCCAATCTGTTGATCCATCTCTTGCACCATCACTCGTGAACAAGACACCCAGATACCTAAACTCCTCCACTTGAGGCAGAGACCCCACTCTTAATAGCAATCCAGAACCATACCCTCCTGCAGCCTGAAGCCTCAGAGAGGCAACCCTCTCAGTCACTGGAGAACTCCAACTCCGAGGCATACAGCTGAGGGCTTGTATCTCCACACCCTCCCAACTCCCCTAACCTAACCCTAACCAGTTGGCTACATCACAAAGTGATCAATTACTGAAATAAAGGTCATGAGGCATCAACTGGACAAACAAGCTAACTTTCTGAAACGTACCCATCTGCAGAGGATGGCTGCAGTGTGTTATCGTCTCGTGATATGCTCATATTTTTACTGTTGCTGTCCTGCCATGATGGAGTATGCATTTTACTTTCTTTGTTTGATTTCTGGTAAAATGTAGCCAACTTTGGAAAGTTTAAGTGTAGTATTTTTCCTCTTTTACGCAATTGTCTTTCTGCCATTATTAGCACATTTTGATTTGTCCGTGGCTTCTTCTGTGGTTTGCTGTTGTCTATTATGTTGCCTAATCATTGCAGCCCTTCTTAATAATAGAAGTTCTTTGGTGGAATGCGAGTCTTTTGGCCAATCACAATTAAGATAGACATCTATTTTGATTGTGATTGGCCAAATGATCACAACAGCAGGAGAGAAATTACCGAAATAACTCTATGTTGGCTAGAAAGTACAGACTCTCAGCTTTCAGAAACCATGAGAATTTAGTTATAAGCTTTTAAATGTTATTGCCTTTAAATGTGCCATATAAATAAATCTGATTTGAACTGGACTCTGTTCTCGAGTAGTCCTGCTGAAGAATGTGATTTCCCTGTAACTGGGACACACGCTCTGGTCCTCACTTCAATAAAAGGTGAACCACCACCTCAAACTGCCAATTTAGTGGCACTGCCCCAGATGTCCACATGATGTTGGAACGGTGTGTCAACAAGACAGCCCAGGGACATCCAGTTAGCATCTGAGACAGATGGAGCAGTTTGCTCACCATAAGTTAGCCAAACTATTTGTGGACGAGTGCAGAAGTTCTCATGGTCCGTGTTACAGATAGGCTTACAGATACTGCTTGATTGCCTCAAAAGTTTGTGCAACATAATATAACGTGAAGTGTAGCACCCGTTTTGTTTAGGCAAATTCTATTTGTTTGCTTTCTTTTAATAATTCTGTTGAACAAATATGAAAAAAAAACTGACTGATTTTCATTGGTTGGTTTTTAGTCACCTTTTTCTCTTCATCGCTCTTCTTTAACTCTGTTCTTTAACTCCAGGCTGGTTGGTATTACACTTATACAAGTTATTGTTTCAGAAAAACAAATTCCAAGGGGGTCAYAAGTCATTTTCAAAAACCAGAATATTTAGCTGCAACATAAGGTGATTTTGTACAACTGTGTTTTTTTTAACAAACATTAAAGAATTGAAAAAAAAAAAAACAGTCCAAAAGTGGTGATTCTGTATCTTTGCCACAAGCTGTTGTCTTCTCTCTGCCTATATGCTGTTAAAACATGTGATGTTATGGCTCGTTTGTTCCATACCATCCTGAGCGACACATTTAGCAGTGGCACATGATAAAAAATAAAGTTGATGTCATACTCTGTCATGAGCTCTTTTTATTGGCCTCTCATTTTGTTGTTTGCTGGCTCTCAGCCCAGCACAGAGCAACTTGTGAGCTCCTGACATTCTGTTTGTCATTTTACAAGAGGGGCCTGTTTGGAGTCAGAGCAGCACTGAAAGTTGATTCAGTCAGGCTTCAGTCGTATGCATGCTTGTGAATGTATTTTGAGTTATATTTGTCACGTTTCCTTCTGATGTTCAATGGTTGAGACTGAAAAACAAACACCACACTCAAATGCTCATTTTCTTTAAAAACAACTATAAAAACGTTAACCTTCCAGATACGGTATCATTTCATTGTCAGCTCTTCATCATAGTTTTTAACAATCCTTTATGTTAAAATCATTGACCCCAGTTTAGCTATAATCAGTTAAGTAGAAGCACCTCTGTGTCATTCTGTTGTCAGCAGAGGAAAAGTGACATTGATAGCATCCATGTCTCGTCTGTTAGTTATGTAAGTTCTACATTCCTGATCGTCACTTAGCAGGTTTCCAAGGACAAGTGCTTTCTAGGAACATTCATCATACCACATGCACAGTTAAATATGCAATTTAGCACCAAGTAAATCGGCTGCAAAAGGCATTAAACTGAATGTGTATATGTGTATTAGAAAAATATCTAATTTGATCAAGATAAAAAAAAAGCATTTACTCCAACCAAGACGGAGCCATTTTTTTTACATGCAAAGCATTCTGGGTAAATGACGTGGATAGGTCCTCGGTGTGAGTGAGCTATATCCACCCTGAAGGTTAATCTCGACAATATGTGACGATTGGCTCTTTTAAATGAAACCAGAGAGCGTTGACAGAGAGGAGAAGGTAGAAATGACTCAGCCTGTAACTGAAAATATGGATGGAGGACAACAGAGCTGCTTCATGGAAGAAGAACCCCAGCTTAGCCTGTTAGCCTTTGTGCTAGCACCAACACTATATTGTTTTATGTTTATTAGCTTGGCACCAGCGTGACAAACTAACAAACTAACAAGCTAAACTGAGGTCTTCCATCCATATTTTCAGTTGCAACCTGTCATTTTTGTGTTCCCCTCTCTGTCATGTGGATGGAGGACCTCAGTGACGAGAGGAGAATGTGTAGCGCTGAGCTAATACATATATATGGTGATAGCATCGGGGCTAATGCTAAAGCTAACAGGCTAAGCTGAGGTTCTTCTTCCATGTAGCAGCTCTATTGTCCTCCATCCATATTTTCAGTAACAGGCTGAGTCATTTCTACCTTCTCCTCTCTGTTAACGCTCTCTGGTTTCATTTAAAAGAGTCGATCATCAGATATTGTCCAAGATTAACCTTCAGGGTGGATATAGCTCGCTAGCAGCCAAGGACCTATCCACGTCATCATTTACCCAGAATGCTTTGCGTATAAATAAAATGGCCCCATCCGTGCAATATATTTTTAAACTTTTAGTTTATAAATGATAAAAACTAAACAGCCTACAGTATTATTACAGTCTTTATTTTACTCCATTTTCAGTTGTCCCCCTCCTACAGTGCTGCTATCGCCAGTATCACTCCACCCCCTGTTAACAATAGGTGTTAATTAGGTGTSAKRYATAGCCATGTGATGTGAGTATCAGTCACATGGAGGCAGGGCTTAAAAGCCTGAATTTTGCCTGAAACTCTCAGACTGAAGAAGTCTCTTGGAGGAGAGACAAAACGTTTCATTAGAGAAGAACCCGTCCAGAGGACCTATACAATTTTTTTCTTTTTGTTTCTTTATTTTACAGTTAAAATATGATTTTCAAGTAAAGTCTAATGTTACAACTAATCATGGATCCCTTTAACCAGATATCCAAGTGGATTCCTGTTTATTTGGACATACCATTTTGAACAATGCATATTTTTCTACATAGATCTAAAATGTTCCTTTTTAGATGGGAGGAATGTTGTTTTAAATGTCTGAAATGTTGATTTTAAGTAGCTAATAACAAGCTAATAAATGTTAGAACAGCGACTTAGAATTTGTAAAAATTTGTAGATATCTGAAACTTAATTCATAATAGTTCAATTTTAGTTTTTACATCCTGAAATTCAGTTTCTGCTAGCAAAATGGAAAAGCTGTTCCATTCCATATATGGGCAATGATGCCAGGAAGATTACATGTCTGCAATGACACAGGCATTAGGGTTTAAGGGAAAGAAAGGTACGGTGAGGTGTTCCGTGTACCAGGAGGAGACTCAGAGGAGGACACAGGACTCGCTGGAAGGAATTAGGCTGGCCTGGGAACGCCTTGGGATTCCCTCGGAGAAGCTGGCCCTAGTGGCTGAGTAGAAGAAAGTCTGGGCCTCTCTGCTTAGGCTGCTGCCTTCATGACCCAACCCAGATAACTGGAAGATGATGGATGGAAAGGTACCAAACCGAGGAATGATGCGCTCCATACAATGACAATAAAGGCATTATCAATCAATCATCAATCAATGATGCAGTCATTTGATTTAAGGGAAATATGACAGACAAAAAATGCTGTTCTGACAGGCAGTTCAGATGGACGTATTTTACTGCAGCCACAAGCTTTAGGACAATAATTCAAAAAAAAAAAAGATGTGGGGTGAATTATGTATCGTAACTCTGGTTTCACATGACCTATCAGCACAATTTAACCTAAAATTCCATATAATGCCTTAAAAAGCATACAAAAATTAAGTGAAGTACTGCTCTTGAACCCTTTAGAGTAAAATCACAAGCTTGGTCTCTTTTTTTAAAGCTGTCATCTAAACCATTGTAAGCAGCAGACCTGCTTCAAAGGCCTATCACCTTCACTTGAAAAGATGTGCAGCTTCAAATCTAAAAATACAGTTCTTGATTTTTTTAAATTTCTACCTGTGCCATATTCCTTTTTTAGATCTGCACTGACGTTCAAACCACAGTTTCTTTGTAGCTTTTTTTAAATTTGTTTATAAAAGTCAGGAATTTGTTCTATTTTAAATCCTTTATATTTTATGTCATGGATTATCTGTAATATCTTACAGGTGATATACCACCACATGCTATAATTAGCGACTTGTGACCTCAGAATGATTGCTGGATAATGGGCACAGGTGACCCCTGTGGCCTTGAAAGGAAGAAGCTGGTAAAAAATAATGGATGCATAGATGAATATAAAGATGAGGAAAATGCCAATGTCTTGTAGGTTTTGACAGCGTATGCCATGTTTTGTTGGAAATCAACACAAGTCTTTGTGCACGAGGCCCCTGAGGATGTTAATGTTCCATTTAATTGTGAACCATTTAAAATGCATCACTGCTCAGGTACTGAGATATGATTATAATGTTCTTAATAGAAGCATTCATTTTTCATAATAAAAATAATTCATGTATCCAAAATAAGCTCTTTACACTTTATATTTTTTTTCTAAAGAAAGAACTTAAAATGCAGTTTGGGAATTTTAGCTTTCAGCTGATGGTACTTAACCTTTTAATATAGAAGCTTCTTCACTTTTTCATAGTTCTCAATACATGCATGTTGTTTTAAAGCCAGAATATCAATATTATTTTAATAAGAAGAGCAATGTAGATACTAGGGTTGGGCATAATCGTATCGTGTGCAATTAATCGTCAGAAAAACAATCTATTATTTTTTGGCACTTGATGATTAATACGATTAATGCCACCATGGAGACTGACTGGGGATTACCGTACTCCAGTCATTCCGCTCGGTGCTCCTCTCCACTTCAAATATGACGAACATAAAAAAAAAAAGTTCTGTAATTTTTTTTATTTATCAACACAATTTAAAATTTGATTTATAGCCTGAAGACTGTAAATTTGACACAATTTGGAACAGATTTTTACGAAGAGCAAATCTTTCCCACTAAATTGGTCATGTGAGTAGGACAGTGACTCCAGGGGATTAATTGTCAAAATAATCATTATCGGCTAAATACCACAATTAATCGTGATTAATTTCTTTTCCAATATTGCCCAAACCTAACATACGTTTAAACTTATAGTACACAGTATTCTTCCACAGTTTATTTGATCAAGCATTATTAAACAAATCCTGCTTGTTGATTCATTTTCTTCACCTTTCCATGTGTAGACTGGACTTATTTACACCTGAGTTCATCTGTCACTCTACATCTGGTGAGCACAGACATTGCGGTCTGGTTTCAAGGTCCTTGAAGGTAACCTTCTTGTTTCTCCTTGGATCGATCCACGAGTTGTGAATTACCACATTGTTTGGTGTTGGTTCTGCTTCAACCCCAGACACCGCCCTCTTTTTTATCTTGCTCTTGAGAACTTTTTGGAACTTCTGTCTTGTGAAGGCATAGAGGAGTGGATGAAAAATAGTGGTCCCATAGGCCATCACCAGGAAGCCCAAACGAAGGCGAAAAGTCAACCCACTGAGTCCAGTACTGAGAATGATTGTGTTGAGCACAGTAATTGGAGTCCAGCAGAGAAGAAAAGTGGAGATGATCAGAAGAGACATCCTAAAAACTCGTTTCTGCCTCTCCCTTCTTTCCCGATGACGCTTCATCGCTCGTCTTAATGCAATTATTACAGATACTGATGCTCGAATACCTAAATGTGCATTTCCACCTCCTTTGACCCCTGTACTGCTCTGTGAAGCATCTGTTGACTCCGCTTGTGTCGCTGGGGTCAGAGAGATAGTACTTTTGCTTTGTTTCTTTTTAGGCAGGTTATGTTGAAATCGTGTTCCGATGCGTATGTTGAGTGCCTGAAGAATCTTGTAGTAAGTCACCAGCATTACCACAACTGTAAAAAAGAATATAGGTATCTGAGCGAGCAGGTGATAGTACAAACCCAGCTCTGTGTAATATTCCTTTGTGTCGGGAACGGTCATTACTACAGTCTGATTTGCAAAGTCTGAACCGGAGCTAATGAAGAAGCCTACTTCCATGAATGGAACCAAAAAACTGAAAAAGGATAAGATCCAAATGGTTCCCATCAGAGCCATAGCTCGGCTCGTGGTTAGCACACGGTTTGCTGGCCGTACTGAGATGTCATAACGATCCACAGTGATAGCCAGGATGTTTGCAGCGGTAGCCACACTCGCAAAGGAGATGAATGCTTCATGGAAGCAGCTGATCATGGCTTTGTCTGTCTCTGGAGAAAGGACCACCACTATAGTTGTTAATGGGATGCAGCAGACGCACACCTGGAAAAGACACAGAAATTTAGTTAACAACTCAGTTTTTATTTAATCTCATGTCTGTTGAAGACATTTGCGGATCAACGAAAACAGGTAAACTTGCTTACGATCAATTGGAACAATTTGTAACAGAAAGGCATTCAGGTTTGGGAGGTTGTTTAAATAACGGGTTTAGTTCTCTTATTTAAAAAAGTTTAATTAAATGAAAATAGCAGTATAATATGAATGCATGTTATATGAAATCATGCCCTCTCTCCACTGCTCCTCTTTCTATACAGTGACTGCACGGCCTCCTCACACCCAGCCGTTAAGCTGCTGAAGTTTTCAGATGAAGCTACAGTCATCTGACTCATTCAAGATGATGAGTTTTCATATCAAAGACAGGTTGAGTGGCTGGTGCTTTGCTGTTGTTTTGGAGTCGGGCTGTCGGAAGTGCTGTTTAAGCAGGAAGGCCCAGACATCTTTCTCCAGAGCCTCTTCTAGAAATGATTTATCTTGTGTTTATTCAGGCCCAGTACAGGAGAGCAGCAGTCTTAACAAGAAAGACTGTCCTTTCCCCAGTCCCTTCCACCAGCTCCTCAAGAGAGACCCTCAATTCATTCCCAGGCCAACTGAGAGTCTCCTCCCAGTTGGACATGGCAAGAACACCTGCTTAGGGAAACATCCAGGAGGCAACTATAACAGATGCCCAAACCACCTCAACTAGTTATTCTCAATATGTAGGAGCAGTGGCTCTACTCAGAGATTTTCCTGGAAAACTGAACATTTCATCTTTAGGGAGAACATTTTACTTGCAGGGAAAACTTATTTTATCTTGTTCTTTCAAACATTACCTAGAGTTTGTGACCATAGATTAGAGTAGAAATGTAGAACAACTAAGAACTTTGCCTTACAACTCATTTCCCTCTTTACCACAACAGACTAATACAGAGTACACAATACTGCATATGCTGCACTCATTCATATGTCAATGTCCAAACCTTAGGAACACAACCCTGAGACACTCTTTCATTGGAGGCAGCACCACACTCCCAACCCAAAGAGGACATTCCCCCCTTTTCCCACTGATGATCATGGCCTCAGATTTAAAGTTGCTGCTTCACACTTGCTGCAAACATTCCATAAAGAGCTGGAGATTACACTACGATGATGGTAAATGGTCTGTAATTGTATATCTATCTATCTATATAAATAAATTTGACATTGACATTGACATCCCTTTTCTATCCAACCAAGATACTCAAAGCATGTTACACTATAACCTGTGCCCTCAGTTACCCATCCACAGTTACCCGTCTCTACAAAGCTAATCCAGATAGATCATCCTATAGAGACTAATCAGTGCTTAAGTCATTCATACACAGATGGGACACACATAGAGACAGTGGAGGTTCAGTGTGTTGGCCATTACACTTCAACATGTGACTAAATATCAATGGAATCAAACTGTCAATTCTTTCATTAGAGGACGACTCCCCTAACCACTCAGCCACAGCTGTCCCAAATGCCAACAGAACCAAATTATCTGCAAGTAGCAGAGAAAGAATCCCGAATCCGCGTAATTAACTATTTTTGACTTTTGGCTGCACTGAGAAATTCTGTCCATGAAAGTTCTAAACAGAATGAGTAGCATGGGACAGCCCTGAAGGAGTCTGACTTACTGCCATCAATACAAACCAGACTAGGGATGCACGATATTTCGGCATCAATATCGGTATCGGCCGATATTGCTCATTTTTTAGAATATCAATATCGGTCCGATATGTAAAACTGGGCCGATATTTACATCCAATATTGATTTCCCACTTTTTATCTTTGTGTTTCTGTTTTGGGAGGGGAGWTGATTGGTTGAGCAGCATCTGTTTGATCATGATAGTGATACTGATGCTGCACAGCCAGGAATAACTGAAGTAGAGAGCCATGTCAGAGGTCTGGTTTTTTATTTATGGTATCAAAAACAGACCAAATGTGTTTGTGTGTATATGTATGATATAATTTGTGTGTTTGTGTAATATCGGTAAACATTGGTTATCGGCCATAACAGCAATAATTATATCGGATATTGAAATCGGCTGAAATTTTCATGTCGGTGCATCCCTAAACCAGACTCTTGCACCATCTTATAGGGAATGAATGGACTGTATCAACAGACACCAATTTCATACTCTTGGAGCTCTCTCCACAAGGTTTTAGTAAAAATTTTAAAATTATTATGCCAATCTCATGCAGTCCAATGATAACATTCTGAAATTCTCAGTAAATCCACTCAGTGGTTCAAAAGATATTTTGCTAGCAGTGTTGATTATAATAGTTAATGACATGGTTTTAAACACAGAATTTGTGTGTCAATCCTCAGTTACGTTGTGTATCAGTCCAACTACTACCACAACAAATTTTAGCTCAATAACAATCTGACTGAGTTATAAGCATTTTTGTTAAGATTTCTTTCCTGTTGCTGTCTGACATTTGACATCAAGCTGTGTCGTTAGATTMATGTAGTTTAAAAGGTAACTGGCAACAAATGGGAAGACTCACCAACACGTCCACTACATGCAGYTTCACGGTGATGATATTGGAGACGGAGCTGATAAGGTTATGTTTCATACAGTASAGGACCAACACAGTCAGGTTTGAGCTCAGGCCCAACACCATCTCCAAAACCAGGAAACTTGTCAACGACACCTTTCAAAAGAAAAAACCTGTCTCAATTTTACTTCTCAGTTCAWCAGATAAGAAAATGCATTATAGTTTTTATTTTAGTTTTGTTTTGGGATAATTAGGCAGTATTAAGCATACTTTGTGGTTTTCAGTGAAAAGATAAAGTTTATCCTGGGATTGAAGCTGGATTTACCTGGAAGCTGATTGGATACATGTACGTGGAGGATCTCATGTCCTGGTTAAAAGGGTCAGGAGTGTCGAGCACCATCATGTTGCTSATTGTGGCGACAGAGATCAGAGCGGTGGTTGTGTGCATTATCCTGACAGCAAGAGGAAGCCTGAAACGTAGTTGGCACACAAATAGACTAATTAGGAGTGAATACTGCATATCGACAACTTCCTAAAATAACCTAAATAATTTTGTAAAARGTRTTTTCCGGYAACACAAATAACAACCAAAAATGTATCATATGGCATTTTTGAGATRCCTGACAAACTTGAGGAAAAAATGAGTTGGTGTTGTAAAAAGCCTGTGATGACAGATATGGTTAGTGAGACTTCTTCAGTTCAGTTCAGTTTATTTATATAGCGCCAAGTCACAACAAATGCCTTGGAGCACTGTACAAAAAACAATGAATCTAAAGAAGACAATTAATTTGTCTTGTTCCAGTTGTGCTCAGTGTAACACAATGATTAAAGGCAATGTGTTCCTACATCCTCATACAGCTAAAAAATTCTCTATCTCACACAGAATCACTTTTTGAACTAAATATGTTGTATAGCTATTGAAATGTCCTTGTGGCCTGATAGGCAAAACTAAAAGAGAATTAAAAATCAGGATTTCAGAAAATAAAAATAATATTTGTAAAAACGATAAAAATAAAGATAAGAGATAATAATATTAAACATAATAAAGATAAGTGGTCTATTGCCAGACATGATGGCTCRGTGGAATTTTAAGACATTGACGTTGTGCCTGCTCTGAAGAGGAGGTGACAGAGATAAAAACTCACTACAAAGGGAAGCATTTTGGATCCACTCTTTACAGGAAGTTAACCCTAAAAGACTTGATGAGGAATTGATGTTGAGTTGTTTTCTTTGACTTTTGTAATTTTATGTATTCATATGTGCTGAAATTTCATAGAATGTTGCAATACTATTGTTTGCTTGTCACTGATTATGCTTGTTTATCACAGATGTCTCTCTTTTGGGGCTGATTGCCTAACTTGTCTCTGATTAGCTTAGAAGCCCTTTAATCTCTACGTAGACACATTGTCAGATCTGTAACAAGCTGATGACAGCATGTAGCTGAAATGCYTCCTATTTTTGCCCTTWTTAAAACCTTYTGATATTTTTGGAGTGCTGGTGATTCCCATTTTTTTGCTRCAAATATTACTATCAGAATTTTTAAATAAAATGAGGCAGTAGAAAAAATGTTTGTGCATTGCATTTTTAATTTCATGTTTCTAGGTAAAAGATCATTCCATGTAAAAACATGACATGTGAAACACATGTTCGATTAATGTCTTTTCCATAAAAGACATGGTAACTGATCTTTGGTTTCCTCAGGAGTTAGAAAGAAGCAAAGGGGATGCAGATATTATAYAAAAAAAACTTTAACTTACCTATTCTTTCCATCAGTGTCCTCTTCAATCAAAGTTGTCATTAGAAACCTGGAGCATGTCCCTTAATTCCACCAGGTTGTGACTTTTGTTTTGCAGCATTCTCCTTATGAACTAAACAATATAATCTGACAGATAGTGAGCTGCCTGGTGATTTTTAGCTTTGCTAGCTCTACTGAAGCAGTTTGCAAGACACAGAATGGCACACACCCATCCTTTGTTGCAGGACTAGTTGGCTAGTTTGCAGCATCAGTACAATGCAGTAGGATCAATGGTTTCTTTCATTAAAAGCTAAGTCTTGTCATTGTTGTGCTTGGACTGCTGCTTTTAGTGTCATGCCTGCATGAGAATGATCCCTCTGCCAAAACAATCTTCCCCTCTCCACCAGTTCTCACTGTCCAGGTACAGATTGTTTTTCACAGTTGTCTTGCTATCRCTACAAAATGTGATGGTCCTTTCGTTAAAAAGCATTGAATTGGTTAAACAGTGGCTGTTTTAATATTTTAGGGACCACCCAAAGGACAGAATAGATAATGTAAAATAGAAGGAAAAAACAGGTTTGTGTTGTGGCTCTAATTGAGTTTATTCARCTAATTTCTTCAGATCCCTGTAATCTAAGTGGTGATGCAGTTGCACCAAAGCAGCTGATGTGTAGAAGTGTCTCCAGGATGCTTTGTCTTTTTAGCATTTCAGATGTAGCTCATGCACACTCGGTGGATCTGATCATGAATTGTGAAATTTAGGACATCCAGAACTTTCATCATTATGTATTTAAACAGTAATACATAAAGCAATGGAAGCAGGAAACTGTATCACATCCCTTGTCTTCATCTTCCACCGTTTTAATCCCCAGTTCCTTCACAATGAATCCTGCAGAGACAAAAAAGAAAAAAAAGGAAAAAATGGGTCACCTTGAAATGGTAGTCCCAAGGTCTGCATATCACGTCACATGTTCATGATTTCTTTACAGCTATGTCATCATCCACAGACACTTAACTCACTCTTTTCTTCTCTGTATCTTCATGTTTAATGGTCCAATGAATCAATATGAATCCACATTCATATAAAGCTGAGGCCGCATGGGACAATATTTTCCACTTAATAATCCTTTCAAAAAAAGAAAACTATAATGGCAGAAACAAGTGCTGAAACACTGATATTTTATTTATTTTTTCGAGATGGGGTGGTGGTAGGTGTTTTAAAAAAAGAGCATCTCGACAGGAAAAACAGATTGCTCTGTCAGAGGGTGAGGAGTCATGATGGTCACAATATTTCTTGAACTTCGAGTATCGTGTCTCCATCTCAAACTTCTGCCACTAATCTGTAGTTGTGTCGAGGAGGAAACAGGTCTAGGAGAGAAACCCAGACATCCCTCTCCCCAGTGACGCTTTCCAGCTCATCCTGGGGGGGGGACCCTGAGGTGGGCCCAGGCCAGAGAAGATACATAATCCCTCCGGGTCTTCCCTGAGGCCTCCTACCAGTGGGACATGCCTGGAATACCTCTAAAGGGAGGCATGCAGGAGGCGTCCTAATTAGATGTCTGAACCACCTCTACTGACTCCTTTCAATGTGGAGAAGCAGCGGCTATTCTCCAAGCTCTCCTCGGATYATGGAACTCCTCACCCTATCTCTAAGGCTGAGCCCGGCCACCCTATGAAGGAAGCTTATTTCAGCCATTTGTATCCAGGATCTTGTTCTTTCTGTCATGATCCCTGAGGGTTGGAACATAGACAGARCAGTAAATCCAGAGCTTTGCCTTTGGACTCGGCTCTTTCTTAACCGCAAACGACTGAAGCAAATCCCTCATCACTGAAGATGGACCCCCAATCCACTGATCCATCTCTTGCTCCATCCATAAAGGAACTCTCATCCTAGCTGATTCACATTCTGCTGCGCACCGCCTCCGTGCTCGCTAAATGTCTTGGCCCGAAGATGGCAAGACGCCACATCATCTGCATAAAGCAGAGATGAGACCCTGTAGTTCCCAAACCAGACGATCTCCTCCCCATGACTGTGCCTTGAGGTCCTTGTCCATAAACACTACAAGCAGGATTGCAGACCAGGGACAGCCCTGACGGTGTCCAACCTGCACTGAAAAAGAGCTAGACTTTGTGCAACAAATGCGGACACAGCTCCCATTTTGGTTATAGAGCGACTGGATTGCTCTTAATATCAACTCAGACTGACAGACCCCTCCCAAAGGATGAGTAGGATCCCACTTGTCCTCAGCTCTGAGCACCAGCACCGGCTCTCCACAAGGCTGTGTGCTAAGTCCCCAACTCTACACCCTCTACACTCATGACTGTACCTCCACCCACCTGAACAATACCATCATAAAGTTTGCAATTGATACCATGGTGGTGAATAAGACTGTGTTTAGAGTGAAGATGGAATGTCTGTATGGTGCACGACCAATAATCTTCATTTGAACTCTTCCTAGTTGAAGGAACTGGTTGTGGACTTTAGGAGGTGTAAACCGGACATTCAGCCCATCATTATAAATAGGAACAGGGTGGAGATGGTGCCAAATTTCAGGTTCCTGGGCACTTACGTCAGTGAAGACCTGACCTGAGGGTTCTCAGGAAGAACAACCTGAGAACTGAGCTCTTGGTGTCCTTTTATTGCTGCTTAGTGGAGCCATGGCATCTTTTGGGGTTCTCCAGCTGCACTGCGGCAGAGAGGAAGCAGCTCCAGAGGGTAAGAAACAGTGCCCAGAGACTCACTGGAGGAGAACTCTGGGACCCCTCACACCCCAATKCTTTTCATGTACAATGACATTAAAGGAATTCAAATTCTAATTTACCATTAAGAAGTGCAAATTACAACAATGGAGACCCCGGACTGTTGAGCAACTGAAGTTGTACGTGAAGCAAGAATGGAAAATATTCCACATACAGAGCTTCAACAATTAATGGCCTAATGTCAAAAAGGGCATCGACTTCACCCCTATGATTTTAAGTAGTTTATTCATCCCAGCATCACCAAAACATACATGCATGAGAAGAACCTGTCCAAATGACTTGTCTCTACTGATATTGTGGATGCAGTGTCTACTGGGGATAAAGTGGGTGCTAGCATCCAAGACTTACTTGGCTTGCTAAACCTAACTAGTGGTTAGCAAGGGGGCCAGAGAAAAATAGACCTTTCAGTAAAATGCAGTGCAAATTTAAAGGGATCCCTGATTAGTTGTAACATTAGACTTTATTTGATAAACATATATTTTAACTGTAAAATAAAGACTGTAAAAATACTGTAGGCTGTTTAGTTTTTTATAATTTTTAAACTAAAAGTTTAAAAATATATTGCATGTAATTTTATTTACACGCAAAGCAATCTGGGTAAATGATGACGTGGATAGGTCATTGGTGCGAGGCTGCTAGTGAAGTGGGATGTGTTGGCTGAAATTTAGGGAATGAATTGATAACTGAATTGCTAAAGTTAAAACCATGGAGATGTATAAAACAGCAGGAGGGAGTCTTGGCCATGTGTCTGTGTGATCTGCTGTAGAAGCAGCTGTGCTAACCAGAAAGGGCAAGTGTCTGGATATAGCATTACTGTACATATTGGCAAAATAGCGTACAATAATGGCTAATTATGTAAAAACTGTTATTGTTAATATAAACAAACATTTTAGTGTATAAAATGTATGAGCGATCTAATGTTTATACAAAAATACCATAAAGCTTTGTGTTATGAATGTACCAACAGAAGAGAAACAGGAAAAAGTATCTCATTTCACAAGTAAGATTTTATCTTATTTACCGGAGTGTAGGTGGGATCTGACCAGAATTGAAACTAATAATGTCAACAAAAAATTTTAATTAAAATAAGCTTATAAAGTCGATAGCAGGTATTAGCTTCTGTAGCTGAACATCCTATGGAGACTAATCAGTGCTTAAATCACATTCATACATGGATGGGACGCATCAGAGGCAGCTGGGGTTTAGTGTCTTGCCCAGGTTTCAACATGTGACTGAAGTGGGGAATCCAACCGGCCAACTCTTGTATTGGAGGACGACTTCCCTAACCACCCCGTTTAGGTTTTAAAAATGGAAAAACTTTGGATTGACTTTATAAGAGCTAGACTTTTTATTTTAATTGTTTTACACAAAGTTGAAAGTATGATGATTTTTATGTATTTATTTTTTATTAACAGATTGTTCAAATGACCACAACATTATCAATTAAATTTTGAGCTRTTTGAACTGTTTGAATGTTCTTCTTCTTACTGCCACAGCTCTTTTGAAACTTAGGCAATTTACAGATTTGAATGTGGGCAGTTTTGTCATTTTTCCCCTCAGTGTGTCTCTCGTGGCTTTAGGCCTCAAAATCTCTCAAATTCAGCCCAGCTTGCAGAAAGTGAACAGCTAAGCTTTTACAACATTTATATTTTAGCTTAAAATATTATTTTCAAACCTGAAAATGAAGACTGAAACATGCCTAAGTAAAACTTTGTAGAAACATAAAAAATTAAATGTGTGAGCATCAGAGTATTCTGCTTTACAGTTCAAATATTTAGGGTCTGACTTGTAGTTTTCATACAGCAACTGATGGACTGTTTTACACACTGTTAGMGGTTATTTTTCTGTTTCTGTCTGTCCTCGCTTTAACTTGGCAGTCAGGGTGTGAGAGAGACAGGTTGCCTGGTTACCATGGTGTCTATAATAAGGTGTTGGTAGCAGCTTTAACATTTTTTTTTTTAATTTTCTACAGTTCAGATATCCAAATGTAGCACAAGTTATTCAAAGGTTTTATTTAAACTTTGGGCAGAAGCTGCATCTTCGGTACAATTCAACATTTATGCAGCAATTTTCTAGTTTATAAATAATTTCCACTGTGTGAGATTTTTTATCATAATTTCAGGTGTCTAAGTGAAATGAGTCAACTTTCCAGTAACTTCACAGTTATTTCAAAGAATTGTGCAGTTTTAAAATATTACWGGGGTTTATTATACAGTAACTTTAAACAATATATATGGTTGCACAGAGTAAATGCTTTCAATTTTATTTTATTATTTCTGGTCTAAGAAGATTCCACAAAGCAGAGATTCTTAACCTGTGGGCCGCGGCCCAGTTGTCTGCCGTGAGCGCCACCTTGAGGGCCTCAAAAGAACAACAGTTTTTAACTTTGGGCCGCAGAGGGCGGCTGGACCATTTTGAATAAGGTGCAATACACTTTCTCACCACTAGTAGCAGTAGTGCACCACTCAGATGTTTAACAACTTTTTTAATACGTAGAAGAAGAACCTTAGAAACCTGTCGAGAATGGAAACCTATTTTAAATTAAAAGTAGAAGCAAAAATGAAGGTAACTCATCAAAAAAACACCAAAGTTTGTCACTAA